GCTGTTTGCCGTGAGGTGATTGTCGTAGGTTAGAAAATAGATGCTTTCCCCCCCCCCCCATCATCCCTGAAATAATACACAAAAGAATTAGAATAAACCATCTCCCGGTAGCAACATAACATAAAATAGTAGCTTTTCATCTTGCCATTTTTTGCCACTTCTCAACTGTATTTCAGTAAACAACCATTTTGATCAGCAAATTCAAAGATCTAAATCTTGAGCAAAATTATAAGAAAACAAAAATATTGAATGCAAAACATCCCCAACCACTGTCACAGTCAATTAAGTGTGGCTAGGTAATGAGGCCATTTGCATTGTAAAGCATCCCCCATGTGTTAGGGTTTTAATGGGGACAGGAACTGAGGAGATTAATTGAGAGTGACATTTCTTGAACTCTATTTTTCCCCCTCCGTGTCTTCCACGTCTTGCCTTTGCTTACCTGACTGACAGATCTACCTTTCAAACTCAAATATCTGAAAGACTGTCCACTCAAACCCCTCATTGACTCTGATGTTTAAAAAGGGCAGGATGGTACATTATGCATAATATGGCTCTGGCGATGAACAGAAGTGCTTGACTTCAAGACAAGGGGTGGATTTGGTCCACAAAGTGCCTGTGAACGTTAAAGAAATGGAAAACATCAGAAGAATGATGCACTGCCGTGTCATTATTAGCACTTAAGAAGCCATAACGTTGGGTTAGCTGAGGGCCAGGTGCCAGTAATTATCATCTTCAAAGGGGATAAAATTCATATTTTTGTACATTTTCAACTTTCTTTAGTGTGTGATGTTGCTGTTTGAGCATGAAAAATGTCTGCAAAGTTACAAAGCACAAAGTCACTCCAAAGAGAGTTATTCTCTATATCAGTGCGCACTGTTTCTGAACTTCCTGAAACGCCTCGATTGTAGTCTTGAGTTTTCTTCTGGCAACACACACGTCACAATATTACACATTTAAATAATTCCTGCCCACGGCATACACGGAGAAAAGGGACGAGGCCTAGTTGAGTTAATAGTGTGTTGAAACTCGCGGCTATGGTAAGGGGTGTGACATTTCCCAAACACACTCAAAACTGTTGACCAATCACAACACATCAGAGCACATTGTGCTTTTCAGAAGGATGGGGCTTCATAGAAACAGAAACTAAACAGAGATGCTGCAATGAAAAATAATGTTTTTGGAACATTCAAGCATGAAAACCTATTTTAGTAAACCCTAAAAACAAAATCAAGACTATAAAAAAGGGCATAATAGGTCCCCTTCATCTTTGTTCTTTATCATTTAATATCATAATACACACTTGCACAAATCAAACCGCATATTTGTGTCCCCTTATGATGCAAGCACGATGCAACTAGAACTTTGAATATGCACTACATAAGGTGGCGGGTAACAGCAGATAGTCATTTTCCACTACCTAAGGTGGGGGTGGTGGTCACGGGTCTCTAATGACTTATTTAATATTGCAAGAGAAATGACCCAGGGTCCAAGAAGCGCTACGTCTCTCCAGCCTGAAAACAGAAACAATGGAGCCACCTTAATTGTGACATTACAAGCAGTGGCACAGCGAGGAACAGAGGGGGTTTGATTAAAAGGAGAAGAGGTGGGTGACTTTGTGAAAAGGTCACTGCACACTTACCTGGACTTCTCAACTCCCCCTCTTTCTGAACAAGAAAAAAAGTGGAAGAATATGGAGAAAGAAAAGAAAAAAAAATCTCCCATGTGATTAGAGACGACTTCCAATATTTCCAGCAATGCCATTAGTGAAATAAGATGGTAATTTTCTGGCAGGCGGTATCTGGGCAGAAAACGACAGAAGGGAGTGAGGGTGAGGCAGCAGGTTGTGGGTGGGAACAGATGGCAGCACAGGTGGGGTGGTGTCGAGGTTAATTGAGAGGTTAACAGGGACAAAGGTTTGTCAAAGGTCAGGAGAGACCACCATCCAGAGGGAAAGGCACAGATTCCTCCTGACTTATGCATGTTCCTGATGTAGCAGCACAATCCCTATGTGAGATTGTTTAGAGAATGAGTTTTGTCAAAAGGCAGATTTCAATATCAAGAAACCAAGGTGGCTGATGGCTAATATAATAATAAAATGTCCAGTTTATACACTACTGCTCAAATGTTTGGAGCCAGTGAGATTTAATTTAAGAAATAAATACTTTCAGAAAGGACAAATTAAATTGATCTATATATAAAATCTAACTAAAATCATCGCTGTTATTTTGAACTATTTCTATTCATCAAATAATCATGAAAAAATTACCACGTTTTTTTCACAGAAATATTAAAATGAGTAGTTCACTTTTTAAAAAACTTTTGCTGATAATTTACTCACCCCCATGTCATCCAAGATGTCCATGTCTTTCTTTCTTCAGTCGAAAAGAAATTAATGTTTTTGATGAAAACTTTCCAGGATTTTTCTCCATATAATGGACTTCAATGGTAGCCAAACGGTTCAAGGTCTAAATGACCGTTTCAGTTCAGCTTCAAAGGGCTTTAAACGATACCAGACGATGAATAAGGGTCTTATCTAGAGAAACGATCTGTCATTTCAAAAATAAATAAAAAAGTTAAAGTTTTATAGGCACAAATGCTTGCCTTGCGAACTCTCCTGTTCAAACTCGTTCATCAAAATGAAAGAATCTTTTTTCGAGTCATTGACTCGTTCATCAAAATGAACGAATCTTTTTTCGAGTCATTGACTCGTTCATCAAAATGAACGAATCTTTTTTCGAGTCATTGACTCGTTCATCAAAATGAACAAATCTTTTTTCGAGTCATTGACTCGTTCATCAAAATGAACGAGTTTGAGTTCGCAAGGCGAGCATTTGTGCCTATAAAACTTCAACTTTTTTATTTATTTTGAAAATGACAGATCGTTTCGCTAGATAAGACCCTTATTCATCGTCTGGTATCGTTTAAAGCCCTTTGAAGCTGCACTGAAACGGTCATTTAGACCTTGAACCGTTTGGTGCCCAGCAAAGTGCATTATATGGAGAAAAATCCTGGAATGTTTTCATCAAAAACATTAATTTCTTTTCGACTGAAAAAAGAAAGACATGGACATCTTGGATGGCATGTGGGTGAGTAAATTATCAGCAAAAGTTTTTTTAAAAGTGAACTAATCCTTTAAGCAGCACAACAGTTTTCAACATTGATAATAAAAATAAACATTGTTGACCGCCAAACCAGCATTAGAATGATTTCTGAATGACGACACTGAAAACTGGAATAATGGCTGCTGAAAATTCAGCTTTGCCATCACTTGAATAAATTATTTTTTAAATTCTATTTAAAACAGAAAACCGTTTGAACTGTAATAATATTTCACAATATTATGGTTTACCTGAATTTTTGATCAAAGAGAGACATAGAGACTTCTTACCAAATTTAACAGAATTAACAGTATCGTAAATATAAACATAAATATGCACACAAATTAAATGGTAGCAAAAGGGACGGTTATTTTTACTCAATAATACTCATTCAAAATTACCCAAGAAAAGTTTAATTGCAAATAATGATGGTACTGTATATTATATAACCGACGAAAGGGAAACAATTCTGTAAATTGACAAAAGGGCACAAAGTCACGTCTTTTGGAAGCATTATCAGTCACCTTCCAAAACTCCTCAGCCAATTTAATAGAACGTACAACGCCTCCAACCTTTAATTCAGTGTGACATACCGTCCTGAATCCATCACAAACCTTCAAAATCTCTCTGGAGACATTACAATTTGATACGCCGACTATGATGCTAACGATTTACATTACATCCATCTCTGAATTTTACAGGTGAGTCAATTACCACATGCCTGAATGTGATGGGAAACAGCCCAGCTGCACTGATGCATGACATGCACCTGATAAACATTCAGACCACGGGCGGCTCTCTGAGAAAACAAAAAACCGTGTAGACGATTTTCAGTGAATAATCACACAATTCTGCATCACAAAACAGGTACAGATGTCTTAGTCTCCAGTTTTAGATTTTATTTTTTGAAAATTGTAATGTTGATGGTCCATTAACAAAACAACGCTTGGTACATAATGCAGATATTTAAAAAGTGATTTGAGGACAAAGAAGAAACATAAAACCATCAAACTGTGCTGAATACAGTATGCTGGACAGATACAAATGCTAAGCTCTATTCACATTCCTTTAAAAAAAAAAAAAAAACATGTTTCATAATCATGGAACCTGCATTTTTGAATGTGGAAAGCATGATTTTATTAAAAGATTTTTTTATAGACTATTACATCTTTGTCTGGTCCTCTGACATTGCAATTAGCTACAGATTTGCAATTAAATTTAAACACCCGTCTCTAAAATGTATTTTCATTTTTATCTCAATCTTTTTTAATTCGTTTCTTTTTCTCTGAGATTTTACGTCAATGTATTTATGTCAATGTATATATTTTGTATCAATGTATTTGTGCATTTTCATTCAAATTAATTTGAAAATCTCAAGAAAATGACTTGAGTTTTAGTTTGCTTACTATTAAAATGCATTTGATTCATTTAAAAAGCCTTTACAGTAACAACAAACTTCTATAGTATCTTAAGTCAACTATAGTTTTTTCAGATTTTCAGTGTTAAAGAGCCAGTCCTAGTCAGTTTGGTCTTAAAGTGGGTCTCGTCAAAAGAGAGGTAAAGTCAGTAGAGGTAAAGTTGTTTGTGTTGAACCGGGTTCAGTTGAATGTTTCAGGTCAGTTCTGTCACACTGTGTTTCTGAAGTGCAGTTTGGCAAGTATGTCGTAAGCAGTTTTGACGAGATGAGTCAGACGAATCACATACACACGATGTACCGAAGGCTTTACGCACTTTGAACAAAAAACAACCGTGTTAATGTTATGATGCTAACATAAGCTTACGTAATGCTGACAAATGCCAGCTTTGTACAATTCACAAGAAGGTCTCAGGCAATGCAATCTGAACTACATATAACAATGTAACACTTTTCAATAATGTGTTCAGTTTTCACCTAAGTACTAAAGCAAAAAGATGCTTTTATAGAGTATCTTTAGCAGAGGCTTAATAAAAGAAAAACAAAGTCAAGTTTATACGTAATTCGCAAGATGCATAAAGTGAATTTCTGCATCTGCATTCTACACTATTCGGTGTATCCAGTTCTTTTGTGTATCTTTAAAGCACCAGCAAGCTAACAGCTAATGTTGTTTCAAGAACTTAGGGACATTTAATTAAATGAGCTACAGTAGACACAGTTTAAATAAAGACTTACAAAATTGGCTATCATTTAAACTGCCCTCTCTTTTTCAGAAACAGTTCAAAATAACAATTCCACTTAACACCCACAAAGGCTTGACCTCTGACAGTGTGAAAGCTCTGTTTCCACTCAAATTACAGTGATGTGCAGTGCGACCTCAAGTGATGTGACGTCTACTGTTTTAATTCCACCATCTGCAAGTTTTTAAAATTATAAAGTGTTAAATGTCTTTGGAAACAAAAGAAACAATGTTCAAAACCTCTACAAAGAGATGAAATTTAGTTAAAACAGTCAATAGAACAAGCTCTGATATATTAAAGCATTGAATATAAAGCGCTGAATATGCTTTTGTGCACTTTTAGTCTACGAGGATATGTGAAGTACGTAATGTATTTTTGTCCTTTTGCATGACCTTTATGGTCATTTTGAGCTCAGGAACAGATTTTTCACAAGTGTGAAAAGAACACACTCAGTAGCTCTCATTCACTCACTCACTCACTCACTCACTCACTCACTCACACACACACACACAAACACTCACTCTCAACATCTGTCCTGGCTGTCGCCTGCATGCATCTGGGCTTTTATGTTGGGAAACAGATTCCACAGCACTCCATGCAGATCTCCAGGCAGTCCGAGGACTCGCAGCACGCATCCATAATGCCACAGTCCATGTCACAGGGGCAGTTGCAGTCATCTCCCAGGTCGTCTGCGCAGCAGCAGCAGCAACAGGCTTCTGAAGTGCAGGTGCCGCACGAAGCCTGAGCCACCACCATATTGCACAGAGTGACAAATTCACAAAACAGGCAGGCCAGGATGCAGTGGACACAGCAGTCTGCTCTCAGAGAATTGCAGCAGGCAGAACAAAACAAAACAAAAACATCGAATAAACATACAAAATTATTTTGAAGTATTTAAGTAGTGTCACTTTTCTTGTGTGATCATTTTTGCTATTTTGTTTGATGTTGCCAGTGGCTCAAACATTACGCACTTCACCTTTAAAATCAAAATTAGGCTTAAAAACTAAATTTAGCTCAATATGAAATATATAAAAATAATAGAAATAAACTTTTAAATATTTATATAGTCTATGTATTTTACATCATTTTATTTGTTTGTTTTAATCATACTGGCTGACAAGACTAGCGTACGTTTGTCTATATGCGTCGCACGTGTGTGTGTGTGTGTGTGTGTGTGGGAGGGTAAGACGGTGGTTCAGCAGCAGTGAGAGCAAAAGAGGAATCAGAGAAATTCAAAAGGAACAAATTCCACTTTTGGGTTGATTAGTAGCTTTGTGAATAATGGGGTTATTATCATGCAAAAGCACAGGGTCGGTCACGTAAAGCTGATTAACAGCGTCCAACATTTTCACCAGCAAATTGGCGTGTTAATGCTGTCGTTTCTCTTATCTCTGATTAACATTTAACCTTCCTCTCGCAGGTGCACCACATACGATGCCAAATTACAGTTGTTTAAGGTGACATGGATACACAGTTTTACAGTAGCATTGACAGGACAACAGGTAATCTATGTTATCTATATTGAGCGCTCTCTCTCTCTCTAGCAAAATAAATTATATTAAAAATAAAATTATTTGTCAGACTACTGTTCAGCCATCATTTGAGATATTTAGTGCAAATAAATAAATAAAATCAATACAAAAATATCAATTAATATTAGCATAACCAAACCAAAAGTAACCCGTTTGTGCATGGAAATATTACATCACCCAAAATTCTGGTAGATAATTGACTTATCAAGAACCGAATCCTCAAATCGCTCAGTAGAGGGTTTGCAATATGATACATACAATACAACTCATATTTAATTAATGGTATACAACCAGACTGCAGTGTGCTAATAGATACAAGGCATACAAAATCTATTACAGAAAAAAAAATTCAACTATAACAAACAGCATCAACGTGAAAAGAGAACATCTTTCACTCAAACTAAGCTTCAATAATCGGCACGGCGCTCACACTGTGCTCCCGCATAAACAGTGCCGTAGAGAATAACAGTGAACCCCTACCAGCCGGACGTGCCGCTCGGACCTCTAATCAACTGTAGAACCCAAACCGCGGTGCATTGGAGAAATCACTGCGATGTGGTGTGTATCGTTATCAGTTTAAAATGTGAATTTGCATGGCTTTCATCAGTCCAGGGTGAGCTGTCAGAGAGATTGCTGGGTTTGATTGGGGCTCTGGTGGTGGGGGGTGGGGGTGGGGGTGGGGGGGGCAAGGACGAGGCCTGAAGACCACTGGATGTTCATGTTTGTTTGATCAAAGTGATTTTTTTGTAGGCGGTGGAGCTGACCAGCGGTGGTGCTGTGCAGCCTGGACAGTGTTTGAACATGAAACAAGTTTGCATGCAGGCCCACCAAAGGCTTAAAACATCAGCTTTCTGAAAGGTCAAACGGGCGTACTTTTAGATTTCGCCTGTGCCAACTACATCAGCTACATCAACTGTTTGCTTAATTCATCTGCTTAAAGTACTCATATACTATACATGCTAATCAAAATCACGTACTTGCTACTTGATTACCAATTCATTTAATAATGATTTGATTTGGGGCATCCTATTAAACAAGTGTGAAATATGACACGTGTCCACACAGATTATTTTTTCTTGCTCTATTTTTCTTGCCCTTTTTTTAACTAACAATTTCTTTCTAGAAACGGGTTTAAAAGCAACAGTACATAATGAATTCCCTTGGATGTATAATTTATCAGCAGCGATTAGTGTGAATCTTAAGGAATGAGAGTCTGTGTAATGTACACAGGAGACAGGCTGCCTTATCTCAGCCGCAAAACCGGCATCGCCCCAATGAGAGGGTTCATGTTTAATGTCAGCCCGAGCGGAGTATGCCCAGATTCCGCGAGGCCAAAAACAGCCCCAGCGCCTTGGAGGAAATAGTTTGAGACATCTGGAAAACTCCAAAGGCTAACATCAAAAAGAAAGGCAGCGTGACATAAAACAAGTGAGCGGTGCAGGAACGTTCAAATGAAGAAAGACTGACTGGTGCATGGGTTGTACATGGCGGCTTTAGAGACCAAATGAGAGGGAGATCAAATAAAATTAAAAAAAAGTTGGCATTGAGCAGTTAATTTGCAGTCAATAAGGAAGTGAGTGCTGTAAACTTTCTGAAAGAGAACTCTGGATACGCGGGGGAAGCTGCAAAGACGGGAAAAACATGGCATTACGATGCACTGCTAATGACCGCGCTAGCTTTCTGCGTACATCCCGCAGCCTTAATTGAATTTGTCAGAGGGATTTTAGACTACTGCGTACTTGCAACACAACACAATCACAAACACGCCATCACTCAAGGTCCTAACCCACCCGCAATGGAACAAAAGATCTCTCAATTAGTTGATTTTCTGCTGGGGTTGCTGTTATCGCAGCTTGCGACGGCAGCCAAGAACACGAGGAATCGCAATCCCCTGAGCAGAGATCTTGTAAAGCTTTATTCTTCAGCTTCCCAGGCTGTTTAGAGGCTAATTTCACAGGCAAACAGATTATGGTAATCCATGTAAACATTAAAACACAACAGCTTGCTGTTTTCCAGGGGGAAATTACTACTTGAGAGAGAACATTATTGATTCAAAACACAGTTCTACAAATAACACACGCACGCACACAAGCTGTAATGAGACAGACTTATTGAACTGTTCACGCACCCCCCCTCTCCAATTAAGATGTAAAAACTATGACGCCTTTTAAGATACACATTTCCGTTAAATCCGTAGGGAGATGATAGTGTTTGTTACATGCACCTCGTAGTAGGCTCCTACTCGCAAATCACCTGAGTGATAAATCTGATCTAAAACTTTCCAGTGTTGGAAAATGTTCACATTCTTTCCTGACTTTTCCCACACAGGATCAAGTCTCCCTAATAAGTGCAGGCCTATGGTTACCTTTGTGCAAATAAATCTTAAAATAAAACTAACAAACCAAGCAAATAAATAATCCTGCATGAAAGGCTGTATTATTCAAATTATTATTTATAAATACATAAAAACTTTTTCAATTAATATAGTACAAGAAAGTCCCCTCTTACTTAAACAATTGTTGCAACAGCAAACACCAATGATGTACTTTGTATAGAGAATTACATTTTTAACCAAAAAATGATAAATGAAAAAAATAAAATAATAATATATATTTATCAAGTTCTAACTTCCTGTTTCCAAACTTCCTGAAGCTATTTCATGAAAACACATTTGGGCCAAGTCACTTGTGGGATGATAATTCCCAAATTATCCCTTCTGATTTAGCTAACTGCCAGGGCATGTTGTATGAAACATACAAACTGCTTTACAGAGAATCTGAAGTTCTCAGCAGGTGCAAGACTTTGCTTGATTTAAAAGGGTTAAGGTATCAGACAAGCATGATTGAACATCACGCAGTAAAGAAAGCGCAATACATGAGCCAGGAAAGTGGCGCTGGTACACAGAAGCAAGGCAGAGAGCCGGTCTTAATGAGAGGACACCGTGAGAGAGGCTAGCGATAGCCCCTGCTGAGGTGGGGTTGACACATGGCAGACCCCCGCTCTCCACAGTCTTGTTAAAAGGTCACACCTTGGTGACCATTACGAATGCACCAGCGATCTCCTTCATTACTGCCCTCTCCTTACCATCACACCTGACAATGTGCAAGCTGCTTTTTTCAGATCAGCCTTCTGTTTTTCCTTCCCATTTGCGAGACAATACAACACCACAGAAATAAAGAGATCAATCTAGTTGGGAGTTATGAAAGATGAAATAAAGCAGTGCATTTACAGGACACAGAACAGAAAAGTAACAGATTAGTTGCGGTTAAGCGGAGGGAGGGGAAGACCAGAGATTCACAAGAACAGATGAAATCTGCAAGCACATACGAGTTTGTGTGCGAGTGTATATTTGCGTATGTGATGTCATGTACCCTCTGGAGTAGAGCCGGGTTTATGGGAACCCGTCGAGCTGCTTTTGCTCCTTCTGCTGCTGTTGCTGTTGACCGACAGGCTAGAGCGAAGCTTTCTCTGCACACGGTGTGAGACAGGCGATGGGTGCTTCTTGGGCTCGGAGGTGTGGCCGGCGGAGGGCGGTTGTGTGACCCCGCGGGGCGTCCCATGGCCATTACTTAGCACTGTGTGCAGACCGTTCTGCCGCCTGCCAGCCTCTCCATCAATAGCATTCTGCAGGGATGTTGCTGGCTGGGGCAGAGGCTGAGGTTGAGCTACACAGAGAGAGAGAGAGAGAGAGAGACAGACTTTTTTTTAATCAACTGTTTTTGACCAGAAAGACTTCAAGGTGTCTGGACGTTATTACTAACCCGAACGAAATTAATAACCTTTATAGCATTTATTTTAATATAAAATGCAAAACAGGAAAAGTTTTATTTTAGTAAATTTTCAAGTAAGAAACAAACCAGGAAATGTGCACTTAGCAAATATTCACCAAATTTTAAACGCCAAGTTTACACAACAGTACGAGTGACACATGTTGTTGCATCATGCCCTGTAAAAATTATTCCAATTCCAGTTAACGATTATGGTTTATTAATCATCCAAGAAAGAAAGAATTGGGGAGGGGATTGGGGGGGACATGCAATTACCCGTTCACATTTAAGCTGGCTCAGACTACTACAGGCGTTTTAGGGCGATTTATCCCGATTTACCCCTCCCGGCAATCTGAGAAAAAAATCTTCTCCAGGACCTTGGTTGGCTACGATGTTTGGCCCTAATGGGAGGCGCTTCCAGATAAAATCTTAAACCTCCCGATCTGCTCACAGACACATCGGGGGTTGCCCTGATAAAATCAAACATGTTTGATATTTATTGTTTTAAACCGGGATGATTATGACTACGATTACATCAGCACTTTCACAATAGCGAATGAGAAACAAGTTTGCAAGGAGATGGAGGTGAATGCGAGAAAAGGCGACTGTGAAACAAGCTGCTTTATGGCTCTGTTGGAGAAATCGTGTCTGTTTTGAACATACTGGGTAAGTGTAGAAAACTGCTAGCGCTATAAGCTAACATGCTGACGGTGTTGCCAAACAACGGTATACATTTTATCCCTTGAGGCTGTGCGTGATGCAACCAGATTTCATAATCGGTAAGGATTTTAAAACTCCTGTAATCTGAGCCCAGATTTAGTGCATCAAGGAACCGGTTTTGAATAAGAACCACTTCACAATTCCCAACCCTAACCCCCTGTGATCCATAACCTGAATACAGTCTACCTCAAACCTAGGCCCACGTGAGACAGAAACCCAGTACTTGCAGTCTTCATACAAGTAACAAACGTGAGGAGGTGGTCATGGCCTGAACCGAGAGGCTCTATATGATGCAACAGTAGTGATGGCAAAGTGAGCAAGTGACACTAGTGTGCATTCAGCTCTGCTGGGAGTCTTATTGTACTCTCTTTCAGAATACGCACCTCATGGTTATTGGGCTCCATTGAATTATTCATCATTTTCCTGCATTTTTAGAATTATATTTTTTTACCTTATTCTTGCTTTTTGCAGAGATCTCTGCATTTTGTTTGGTGTTGTAAGGTAGAGAGCCTGAATTTCCCAATGAAATCTCAGTGAAATTAGTTCTCTTAATTACTTTGTTCTGTTGGTGGGAGGTCCACACTGACTGTGCTATTATTGTTAACAAGAGAAGAAATACAGCCCACCTCTTTATAACATCATATCACCCTGGGAGGACGCTGACGTAAATGTAAAATTACAACAATTAAAAACAGGCCATGGCCAATTGTCAAACACATGTAAGGAGTCAACAGGATACTCTATTGGCTACCTTTGTTTAATTATGATTAAATTATTTTGAGCAAATTTTACAATCCATATATCCCACAAATTGTGAGGTAGTTGTCAGCAAAGCTCAGGGCTGGTGACTAGAAGGTTGCTGGTCAGTGATGTAGGGCTGGGACGGTTACCGCATTACCAGCAATAACCGCATTACTAGCAAATCCCTTTCGCGAGTTGGGGAGCGCAATGTTCCATGACACATAGCATTACATTCGTATTAGAGATGCGCGGATGGGCTAATATTATTTCATCCGCAATCTGTCCGCCATCCATCCGCACCAACGTTTTTTGATCAATTTTCGTTTTTTAGAATTTTTTTATCAGTTTTAAGGTCTATGAGCGATGCAAGGCACTGCTGCCGCGAGGCTAGAAAGCTCTTGGCTGTTCTAGAAAGGAGACTGCGCATGCAGCAAAGATATTTAAAGGCTAAAGTCCCTAGTGTAGCCTATTGGCTATGTTGTATCCTCAGAATATCAGCAGTGAACTCCGTCTCCGATGGGCGCACGAGTTTCGGTTCATTTATGAGACGAGCTCCAGTTCACGCGCAAGAGATCGCACCGTCGCTTCCACATCGTCCTGATTATATGTCTGCTATTTGTATAATTCCAGGCAATTAGTTAATGAAACAGTGATTAAAATTAAGGTACAATTTATACAAAACGAAATTTAATTTAAAGAAAGGCTTTCTACAAAACAAAACTTAATAAAGTGGTCAAAATCATGTCTGACCCATCTTATGATCCTATCTTACTCATGGTGTTCACTTTTCATATAATCGACATAGATTAAATAAAAAATAACATTATATTATGTTAACATAAATATGGAATATAATTTTTGTAATTAAGACATGTTGGAAAAGGTGTTCATCTTTCATTTCGTTCAACGTCATAATGTATTCTCCTGAAAATGATGAATTCAATGCGAATGCATCTGAGAATATTCTTAAATAAGGAAATCTATTCAGTGATTGGTTCATGCCAAATTACAGCTTAATGAAAATTGGACTCTTTCAAATTGTGCTCGTTTTTTTTCGGATGTAGGTGAAAATATTTAACAAAGTCTGTCTAGCAAAAACGCCTTCAGGTGAGTGCGCGGTGCGCGGAAGTCTGTCGGGGTGGGGGGTGGGGGGGGGTGGGGGGGTTGGGTGTTTAAAGCGGTTTACCGCTATACCACGGGAATATCTTGCTTTTCAACCGCGGTTAGAAAAAATCCATACCGCCCCAGCCCTACAGTGATGTTATTGTTAAGTAAAACTATTTAACAGTTTTTGTTAATTGAAATAAAGCTGAAATAAAGTAAAATATAAATGTTAGATGAAAAACTTCAACTTAAAAATTATTTTAGTTAGGCAACATTTCTAGTTTTCGTATAAGTTTAAGTACTAAAATTACTAAAACTGATATAAAAATAAATATACGCTAAACAAAAAGTGCATAAAATTACTAAAACCAACTAAAATTTAAATACAAACTGAAAGTATAAAATGTTGATGCAATAATCTGAGCGCAAGTAGTGGAAGTTCAAAACAAGTAGTTTTTGCAGCTCAGTTTCAATAATGTTCTCATGTTACTCCAGGAGTCGCTACTCCGTGAGTTTACTGTAAGATGCTTTAGAATAAAAGTAATTAAATGATTACTGAAAACAAAAAAAAAACACTTTTTTAATTTTTTTGCACATCAACACCCTTCAAGGTCACAGAATCCTCAATACAAAAGCTTTCCATTGTCACTGCCTGCTTGGTAACTACCTTACGCACAGGGAAAGTTGAGCTTTTAAAATGTATAAAAGCAACAGCAGTTAGAAGAAAGCAATAATTTATTAACTGATGTTTGTACATCAGGATAGCCCACCCGGAGCAGCCTGGTGTTAAGTCTCTTGCTCAAGGGCACAACGGTGATGGTTTATGGATCCCCCTTGAAGTGTTTTGAACCAAACCTGATCTTTAACCACAGCATTTGCCTTCTGCTTCGCCAGACAGCCTCAAAAGCGGCCCAGTCAAGGAACACGTTGCACATGCATCTTGCAATACATTGCTAGAACAACAGAACAGAGAATGTTGCGGTCATTTGGTGCACACTGATAGGATAGCACGGGCCCGACTAAAGCCCAAAGGCCAACGCAACCCAAAAGAAAAGTTACCCCTCCATAAAATATAAATGTTGCTTTCAACCCAAGGCATGATAGGTGATAAAAATTGAATAGCTGCACTAAGCGTAAAAACAAGCATTGTCTCGCAAACGGTGATTGTACACAAGCTGACAGGTCGCATTAAAACACCATGTTATGGTGCGGAATGGAAGGAGGGGGAAAAAGAAAACAGTTCAAATTGGTCTTCTAACCGCTCTGCTTCCAACATATCAACAACTGTTGAGAGTGTACATTTGTAGTTGAATAATACATGGTATTCCTCTACACACGCTGTCAAACACATCACAGGCAAACAGGGGGTGAGTGCTTCTTGACTGTCTAAGCAGCATCCCAATTTGGTCCCCTGGATCTGACAGCCTCAAATATCCTGGGAGCATTTTTAAAAGGCCAGTGTTTGATGGATTCATGAAGAACACACAAATATAATTGCCATTTGTCACCGCACGTTCGGCGCACGCCCCACGCGGGGACGGCGGGCTGGGACGCCCAGGAGAGACGCCGTGCCACCGTGGAGTCGCTCTCTATGTAAAACTGTGGATAAACACCCCTTTGCCTCGGTGTCACAGAAAATAGCTCCGCTGGAAGAATTCGAAATTGTACCCCAAAGACATGGAAGCAGAGCATGGCGGACCTCCCAAGAACGAATATGTATGAACGTCAATGGCATGGAGCGGCATAAACAAGACGGCGAAAATTCGGTCAAGCAGGAGAGATGTCGGAAAGGAGGTGAGACGGGGCAGGATGTTCTCTCATTTGCGCTGATCTCTATGGAGACTGAAAGGTAAAGAGAGAGAGAGGAGAGAGGAGAGAGAGAGAGAAAGAGATAGAGAGAAAGAAAAGTAGGTCCCTGTATTTTTGCGGCTCGAGGCCTTTTAATATTTCATCCTGAGAGTGGAGCTGTTTGCTGTGCCCCATTAGGACGCCCATCAAACGGAAACATACATTAATTCACTTGTCAACTCATGTCATCCAGCTAAACAGCCCCCATCCATTTCTTATCATCATCTACTAATGGCTAACAATCATTACCTGTACAAAAGAGTTGTCCGGTGAAAATATGCAAAGTACTGTGATGGTGAAAAACCGCTATCTTAAGTTAAAATGGTCAAGTTAGTGGGAATTTCTCTTGATCTTTTGTAGGTTTACTTGATGTAGGGGAAAAGTTACATAGATTACGTTTTATTACAAATGATAAAATCTGTGGACAGCTCATTTTGAACCTACACAGTATATATACACACAGTATATGTATGAGTAATATATAT